AGAGAGAGAGAGAGAGAGAGAGAGAGAGAGAGAGAGAGAGAGAGAGAGAAATCTTCCATTCAAGGGCTGCTGACTTAGCTGGTGTGCTTTTTAATAGGCATTAAAAATGTTATTTTAACTCCTTGAAAGATCTCTTGTGGCAATTTTTTTGAGTTGTCTAGCCCATCTTTCCCCTTACCTGGTGAAATTGTGGGGACCAGCACATGCTGGGAATCAGGCCCAGCGTCCCAAATATACAGCACAACTCAAGAGTCCGGGTCTGTCAATTACCCGGCTTCAGCTCAGCTGGAATAACCCTGTTCCCTACCCAACCATTCCATGCAGAAGCACCTGATTTGGGTTTCGAGATCTGCTTGCTGGGATACAAAGCTGAGGTTTTTATGGGTTCTGTTCCAACGCAACGTATTCTCGGCCTCTCTCTGATGCTTCACTGCGTCTGCAAACTCACCGTCCTTCAGTTCGGCGCCCTCCATGGTCGGAGTGCAGCGCCTCCATCAGATCGCCCAAAGGAGTGCCCTGCATTCCACGTCAAACATATGGGCGTAGAAGGTGGACAGATCTGCGGTCCAGTGGCCACAAAAGGAATGCTCGCCAGTCGGAGGGCCAGTAAATGTCAGTTCCCAACCAGCGTCAGAGTCGGTCCCACCATTGCCAGGACACAACCGCCTCAGGGCATTGCATGAAAATGTGTTTTATCAATCTTACGTGCTGGGTGGCTCTCCTGACAGACCCTGCACCATGCGCCTGCCAGCCCTTCTGCTCCAGGTGGGAGTGCTCGTGCTGGGTGGCTCTCCTGACAGACCCTGCACCATGCGAGTGCCAGCCCCTTCTGCTACAGGTGGGAGTGCTGGATCAACCAGCCTGGGGGAGCAGGCCAACTATGGCAAGGACCCCACAGGACCGCAGAGAGGAAAAACTTTGCCGCAAAACTGTTTCCAGGACCCCACAGCCTGCCGCAAATGTCCTGGAAAAGGTGAAATTTCTTCCGCAAACCCTTTCCCAGGACCCCACAGACCGAAGATTGCGGCTTGGAAAAACATCAATTTCTGTTTTCACATAGTCCATGGCCTGGAAAAGTCTCACGGGAGGATTCCTCGCCGCAATTTTGTGCCGACTGTAGAGGGTAGGGGGGAGGGCATGGCATTCCTGAAAAAGTCTCGGAAAAGGCAGCAGCCAATAGAGATGAAGAGTGCCGCCAAAAAAAACAAAAAAAAAGAAGGAAAAAAGAATAAAACAAAAGAGTGCCAACGGAAACAGGCAACGATTGGCTCAACTGATTTCCAAAGGGTTTAAATTTCCAAAATGCACATTTGGTCCTGGGGTCCCGGAAAAAGTACCGACTTTTTTTTTTTTTTTTTTTTTTTTTTTTTTTTTTTTTAAGTACTGACTTTCCAAAATGACTTGCCTGCTTTTCGTGGGCAAACCACTTTTCCATCCGCAAAGCTGTGGGGTCCTTGCCTATCTCAGTTGGTTGGCATTAAGCCGCAGTCTAAGCGTGCCCAGGCAGTCAGTGGGAATTGAGCCCTCTATCTCTTGAATGCCACTTGTGTGCTTGACAAACTGAGCTAGGCATTTGCTCACAGGGAAAAACATATGAGTGCATCTCCCCAGAGAAGGTGGCAAAATACATTCAGTACTATTTTACACTAAATGGAGGAATCATTCCATTACTGTGGGAAGATGCGCTCCTTTTGTTTTTTTCGTTAGGGTGCCGTGCTGCAAGGCCCTTAGCCCCTCAGAACTGCGCATCCTATGTTCATTTATTACAACTGATGGTTTTTTTTTTTTTTTTTTTTTTTTTTTTTTTTTAATAAAGCTATATTCTTCTCTCAAGTGCTCGGGGGAACAGGGCATGCAGGCGGTCAGAATCTCCCTCCTCAGGCGCTCCCAGCACCGCCAAACTATACCTATCCTCAATATGGATGGGTTCCAGCGCCGGCACCACCGCCTCCACCTCCTCCTCCACCACCACCTCCGAATTGGAACTACGCGCAGCAGAATTACCAGAGGACTCCTTCAGCGAATCCCTTTCCCGCTCCGGGGAACAGGGCATGGTTCACGAAGGAACATCTCGAGCTGATTGAAAAATGGAAGGCGAAGGACCAAGAAGAAGCGAAGAAGACTAGTGAGGATTGTAGCGGAAGCAGTAAGCAAGGCGCTAAGAAGGGGCACGGAAAATCAGCGTGCAAATCGGAAGATGGGGAACAAAATTTGAAGGCATGGATGGCCAAGAATTTTGGGAGCTCTCTCAGAAAGATCTCTGAGAAACTCGACGTTGTGGACAAGAAGACAAAGGCTGCCGACATGGAGTGGGAGAAACTAGTCAAGAAGGTGCTTGAGATTGAAGGTAGGAATGTGAAGGTGGAGTCAAATAGTAACGAGAAGAGGAAGCGCGTGGTGGGCATCAACTCAACATCCATTGAGCGATCGAGGTCCAGGTCGAGATCCCGGAGTGGCGGGATTAAAATCAGGCAACCCAGGATTGAAGTCTCATCGGACGATGAAGAAACCAAGAAAGTTGGAAAAGGCGCCGCGAAGTGCAGCAACCCAAGTGAAGTGAAGCTGGAAGATGTCATGAAGATAATATCTGTCATCGCGAGTAGGGGACAAGGGGAGAACCCCGTCGCCAACACGAACGCGCCAGCGACTGATCGGGGGAAACGCAGCACTACCGAGAACAAGAGTGAGGGCACCTCGAGTGCCGAATCTGATGATGAGAGGGACAAGCTGAAGGTCAACCGCGGATGCAAGGGGAAAGAAGATAAGACTGAGGCCGGGATCGTAGAATACATGAGACAGCGGTTGGATCACTACATGGAGATGAATGGGAAGAAGGTGAAGAGTCTGTGTGTGAAAAGAGATATCAAGTGGGTGCGGAAGGATAAGTGCACCTGGGAATTGGCCAAACAAGACACCGACGAGTTCTCTAAACTCGTGCATGGAGACAGTGAACATGAAGAGGATCCTGAACCAGATGGCGAGGAAGACGGTGATCCGAGCTCCGATGTCAACGCCGACAATGAAGACGTCGCTGGGCAATGCGTGCTGTGCTACGCCTCCTCGGATGGATTAGTGGGAAGATCTCTTCTCTCCACGGTCAGATTAGACTTCTATTTGAAGATGCGTTTCGATTCGGTACTCTATTTGCCTGTTTCGCAGGGTTCCTTAGATGGGGGAACACGTATCGCAAATTCAGGGACCAGATAGAGTTAACCGATTTTCCTGATACACGTAAATGTGCGTCGTGTATCTATATTTTGATTTCGCCCTTTTGTAAGCAGGTGTATGTTGGACAGACCGGTCGAGCTCTGCACGACCGGTGGCTGGAGCACGTACGTGCCGCTGAGGATCCTACGTGCAGGGTGCACAGATGGCTTAAAAAGCAGGGTACACATCGTTACACTGCAATCCCGATACAGTTCTGCGTGAAGAGTGATCTGAAAAGAATTGAGGAGAAAGTAATTCGGGATGAGAACCCTGGTCTGAACAGTAGGAAGGTTAATCCAAGGGCGCACCCGCGAAAAGCCGGAAGCAGAAGAAGTCTCCACCGAGTCCTGTTGAATGGACCCCTATCTCTTTCTCCTATGGATCCTCAAATGACAAGACTTTTGATTTACTAAAATTGCTTAATTACTCCGTAGGAAAACATCGCCCCACAAAAATTGTAAGTTTTCAGGGTAATCGATGGATGACTTCTTGGAGACTGATTAAGCTTGTTTTTGGCGAATCAAAGTTCGCGGATGAGGATGGGAAATGTTGGCTACTGAAGGATATGAAAGAAGTCTTAGAACTGGGCGGTGTATGAAAAATAATGTGTCTGATAAGAACAAAAACTGAGTCTGACCGGAAGAAAGCTGAAGTGCTTGCCTTGCTGAGAGCACCTTGGAAGAGGAAGAAGATCCTGAATGAGAAAAAAATTGACGAACTACTCGTTATGCTAAAATGGATGAAAAACATCAATACTAAAAGGTGACGACAAATTGTCAGTGGTCTCATTTCCACAGAACTAAGAAGGAAGCTGGGAATGAACCCAAGGAAACGGATCGTAGTTAAGTTGCCTTTCAGTCCCGGCATTAACAAGAAAAGTGTCAGGAAAGAAGTGTGTGAGTGGATTGCCAAAAAAGTGGAGTCTCCAGGACTATCTGATCTGATGCAATGCAAGGTGCGTACAGTCTGGACGAAAGCCAAGTCTGTGGCCGACTTGATGCATAACCATAGGGCCGACGCAACCAGCCACGAAGCTGAGTGTGTATGTCACAGGTTCCAACTGCCCAAAATTGATGGGCATGTTCGGGTCAGGTTAAATGAGATTTTCGATATTGAACCTTTTGTCCATAACTCACGGAATGTTCCTGTTCCTGGGCGGATGATGGATCTACAGGAAATAAATAAGAACTGCCAAGATGCTCTTCGTGTCCTAGAAAAAATTGGGATCACTGATGTTTTTAGGATCTCCCCACTGAAACTCGCAAGTGTTACTCCTATCTATGGGGGTTGTCCTTAGTGAGTATGTGATCGGTTTGAAAGGTGCGCTCAGAGGCCTGGTCCTCTCGCCCCTGGACCGGAACCCTGGAGCAACCCTGGTTGAATATCCGACCTTGTACCTGGCAGGTATGAGGTCAACTTTTAACGACAATCCGAAATTTAAAAAGATTGCTTTGACCGAAAGCAAAGTTTTGCAAGAGATGAAATCAGAATTCAAGGAACTCAAATTGAGTAGGATCGCGAACTGGGACAGAAAGGGTAAACTGCAAAACGCTTTCATCATGAGCAAAGACAAGGACCTCGAGAAAAAGAGGCCCATTTGTCCTTCTTTTTTGAACCCTATTAGGCATGCTAACCAAATGTTGGTGAAAGTACTAAATCTACTCATTAGATGTACGAATAACCGGCATTTTAACCTGATGGCAGGTTGTGAGTTGAAAGATCTTTTATCTGCAGTAAACTCTGGAGCCCAAAAAGATAACTTGAAGATAATGATACAGACATATGACATAAAGGAAATGTTCTCAAAAATTCCCCATGATGAAGTTAGAATGACGGTATACTGGATCTTCTCGGAACTAAGGAATAAAGCGAAATTTTGGGTACGTGTTAAAACCCAGGGTAAAGGGGCTACTCTCGGAAAGTCGGCTGGTGAAGGTGGATGGAAATCACTTTGCCTATCTGACCTCGAGAAACTGGTCTCCTTCACATTATCCCACTGCTTTTTCAAATCATGCGGACAAATTCTCAGACCAGACAAAGGTATACCAATGGGTGGACAAGCAAGCCCCCCTCTCGCGTGGGTGGTCTGCATGTACGCAGACAACCAGTTCCTGAGAAGCCTCAGAAAGGATGCTAAGGCACTTTTTGGGAAACGATATGTTGACGATCTCTTACTTATCGGCTTATATAAGGACGATGAACAGGATGCTTCTACAGTTATGGGAAAAATCAGCTCTTGCTACCATCGAGATCTGAGCCTGGAACGAACCGACCACGACTCGAATATCGCAGAATTCTTGGAAACTAAACTGTTTGTTCTCGATAGCCCTGCTGAAATCATCTCTATGCATAAATTCAAAAACTCAGAAAGTATCTGGGATGAACCGACTGCGCCACGATATATGGTTACCAGGTCCTTCGCCTCTTTTGGACCAAAAGAACAAAAATTGGCTAACCTAATAGAGACCCTATATCGTATCAACGCAAACACAAATTAACCGACACTCTTACCCTTTTCAATTATTACTTTTCACAGAGAACTGAAAGGGTCCAGATTCCCGACCTCCGTAATCCTTACTGCCCTGAGGATGGTGGCGGGAAAATTGGGAGGCATCTGGCCTTAGATGGTTCAAAAAATCACTCAGTGCTACGATGGATGGGAATGATGGAGGACCACTGCTTGTCCTTTATCATATGCCAGCGAAAACGGGTCATGTGGACTCTGTTCCAGAAGACAGGGGCACTGAGATACGTTCGGAATACGATGATCTCCGTTACACAGACTATCATGAGCTTTTGTCATGCTGAGGTTCGATCGGATTACTGGACGTCTGGACAGATCTGCAAGATATGCCTGGGCAAACCGGAGCCACCGCGCGTCAGCATTGAAGTTTTTTCTACTGAGCTTTTCTTACTACTGGCGGGAACCCGACTCGCCGATGTGACGAGAGGACTTGCTGCACGTCTTTTAGAGACATCCTTGTTTTCTTTTTTTCTTTTTTTCTCGTTTTCTCGTTTTTTCGTCTACATTCATTTTCTTTTTGTGAATTTCGCCGTTTTTTTGCTTCAAACGAATTTCTATAATAATAATATTTTTCTGTAGAAAGATAGCAGGAGGTAACATGGTTCACATCGTCCCTCAAGACGAAGAGAGCTACGCATCATTTTTTGGGTATAAATAGAAGTGAGAGTCGGCTCAAAAAGCAGACTGAGCAGCATTGAGGTAGAAGGTCTGTGGTATGGTGGAGACCATACGTGGTTTTCTCACTATGCTGAGGCAATGTAGTGTGTTGTGAGATTAATCCTCAACTACATTGTTTTGATTCATTCAAGTCTATATTCTTCTCTCAAATTCACCTCACACTACCTACCTACCTACAACTATATAGAGGGGACCCCTGCAAGCATAGGGCCTCGCAAACGAGGTAATTCATGTTGCAAGTTAGCAGTAGCAGCAGCCAAAAAAAAAAAAAAAAAAAAAAAAAGTTTGCAGCAGCAGAGACAGGGGCAGGGGCGAACGGTGGTGTGCAGAGGGACTGAGTTCGGAAAAAAAAAAAAAAAAACATACCGCTATATTTTCTTTTTTTGCCCCCTTTTTTTTTTTTTTAACAGCAAAAGGTCATTCCATTATATGCCGGAAAGCTGGTCCAGCGTCCCTCACATATAACCGCAGCCATTAAGGGCTGGGAAAAGCACTCCCGGCCAATCCCATCGCTGACCGCAGCCAAAAACTCTCCAACCCTAACCATTCGAGTATTGGAACAAGTCCCACCTATCCATTGCTTCTACAATCCTAATTAAGCTTTCAACCAACAAACCCTAACTAAATAGGCACCCACAAAAGCCAAATCTCAATTTGGCGTAGTCAAAACAACACCAAAGAAATTGTACCAAGACCAACATCATGATAAACCCTTGCTACTACTAACCAAGCCAGAATCAATCAAAGATTTACTCAAACCCTAACTGCTAGTATCCAACCATTAAGAAACAAGCAAAATTTAAGATTACTCGAACCGTAACTACCACTAAACACCACCCATTCCTAAGAAGATAGCTAATTTCAGCGCTACAATTCGACGAATTCTACAGAAGGATATCCACGGCCATTGAACAATCATCTTGTCTTGTTCGGCACTCCCAGCGAAAAGGGGAGGGGCAGTCACCCCTTCACCAAGTGATAAAGTCGGGTATCTGTAAGAGTACTTGCCAATCCTCATCCTTGCAGCTTCCCGTCGCCGCTCCACTGAAGTTACAATTCTCCTATTAAAACCAAGCTAAGCAACCTGATTTTACAAAACCAGTTAAAGCAAAACTAAACAAACCCAGTGCACAAAGTTCAGCGAACGAAATTAAATAATACATCATCTACACAATGAATTACTAAAATCATAACCATTCTCGTGGCTAAGTAAATTCCAACACCACAAAATAGCGAAGATAGCTAATTTCAGCGCTACAATTCTACGAATTCTACAGAAGGATATCCACGGCCATTGAACAATCATCTTGTCTTGTTCAGCACTCCCAGCGAAAAGGGGAGGGGCAGCCACCCCTTCACCAAGTGATAGAGCCAGGTATCTGTAAGCGTACTTGCCAATCCTCGTCCTTGCAGCTTCCCGTCGCCGCTCCACTGCTCCGTACCTCCCCGCGAGTCCAGCAATCGAGGAATCACGCAACAACCAGCGTGTCCATCTTCTGCAGTCATTAGGTTTCCGTATCTATAATCAGTGGGCAAAGCCCCTGACTAGGTGATAATTCTGGTATGAGACGACGCTCAGATCCCGCCCGGCCAACCACCTCACTTCTCTCCCCATCCAACCATGATCAGCACAGGATTGTCGACCTAAGTCGACCGAGACCGGGCTATGGCAGGGGCATGGTTGTGGCCCCCCAAGGCGATACATAAAGACTCCCTCGCGCCCATCTTCCCTTCTCGCCTCCGCCACCCCCGACTACAAGTTTGGGCTATGCGCGCTCCCCCGTAGCCCAAGCACCGCCAGAAGAGACACGCTTGCTGCAGAAGGTGGGGGGAAGGAGTAATATACTAATACAGTGAAATCCACTGGACTTGGAAGTGTGCATTCCTTGCCTAAGAGTTCAGAGATGAAACACAAGAGTGGAAAAGGGGTGTGTAACTTCTGCTGACGCCTTCATTATTACGAACAATGGTATTCAAGTTAGCAGCAGCAGTGGCAGGGACACATCCCTGCTCGTCCTTTGATCGGGGAAAAAAAAACAAAAAAAAACGGAAAAAAAAAACACTAATAGTCTGCAGCACCAAAGTGGAGCAAGAAGAAGAAGAAAACAGCTAGAAGCAACTGCAGCTGCGTGAGGTTCTCAGTTTCAAAAGGCAAAAGAAAACAATAGTAGCAGTTTGGTTCGATTTTTTTGCCCTTCTGAAACTCGCGTCATGACCAAACTGCTGCTATTGTTTTTGCCTTTTGAAACTAAGAACGTCACGCAGCTGTGGTTGCTTCTAGCTGTTTTCTTCTTCCTGTTGCTTGACTTTGGTGCTGAAGACTAGTAGTAGTGTTT